ATGTCAAAATACCACTCTACGACAATTATTAACTATTGATTTGACTTAAAGTCAGAGGGAGGAAAGTCAGTAGTTCTCTTGTTTACTTTCGGTACTTAGTGTGACAAATAGGTTAGACATTGCAACAAATTTTTCTTTAATTAATTGATTGATCAGTATCTTTAGCTGTATGAGTAGGTTTATAGTCTTTTCGAAAAATGATCTTTTTTATTCGTTAAGCTAAGTTTTTTCAGGAATATTTCCATTCAATAAAGATATATATATATGTATACGTATTAATATGAACAATTTTAATTTCTTATATTTCAGGTAAGCGGGTTAAGGTTTGAAACACAATTAAGAACGTTAAATCAGTTTCCGGACACGTTACTAGGAGATCCAGCTCGGAGATTACGGTACTTTGACCCGCTTAGAAATGAATATTTTTTTGACCGTAGTCGACCGAGCTTCGATGCGATTTTATACTATTATCAAAGTGGTAAGTTATCGAAAAATATATTCGAACTAATCTTTGTTGTTTCTTCCATTTCAGAGTAATATTTAATATCTATTAAAAATATATTAATTTAAATATATATAAAAAATTAATAACATATAATGTTTACTCTTCTTTCTCTTCCCTTTCCACACATGTTTAAACTAATATTTTTTCATTTGTTTATTTTTATGAAATTCTTCTCACTTTCCATTTAGGTGGTCGACTACGGAGACCGGTCAATGTCCCTTTAGACGTATTTAGTGAAGAAATAAAATTTTATGAATTAGGTGATCAAGCAATTAATAAATTCAGGTAAGAGTGTTGCCATATTTTTGACAAATGTAACACACAATTGGTTTATGATTTTTTTTTTTCAAGTAGAATTTGACTATTAAAAATAAAAACTAAAAAACTAAAAAAATAAGAAAAAAGAATATTAAATATATTTTTGCTGAAAACAGAATTGCAATAATAAATTCGCCTCCACTGGCTTATGGTGTTGTTTTTTTGTTATTGTTGTTGCTGTTTTTAGAATTTTTGTTGTAATGTAATATATACCGAATTCGATACAAAAACAAACAAAAAAAAACAATTTCAAATTTAAAAACAAAGCTAAAATTTTGTTAAAACACAGACATTAATCACTTGACCACCTGCTTAAAATTTTGTTTATACGGCAAGGGGGCGTTCTCGGCCGGCCCCGTGGCAAACAGCACAAAGTATTGAGCAGTTGAGAAAACAAAATAAAACAAGCAAACAAAATGTACAACAACAAGAAAGAGAAAATAAATAAAATTGCTTTTAAACACTGTGGCAACTTGTTTAGAAAAATGCATGCTTGCGACTAAAATGCGCTAAGATGGCAACACTGCAAAAAATACATGCGTTTCGCTTTACATGGAGCAACTGAAGAGAGATCTCTAGAAGTGCAATCACTGGAACAAAGAAACTCAACACAACACACAATCTCATAATTTGTACCAAATAAACCAGATACAAAACCAGACACAGTTTATGCGTAGTGGAATGTCAATTATTTTGTTGCAAAGTATTTAGAAATGTTGATATCTATTAGTTATGATTTGCTTAGTTCTGATCATCTCAGTGTGGGTGATCAAGTGATTGGCTTAACTCTTGTAGAAGAACGAACAAAATTTGCTTTAAACTATGCTTTTGATATTTTTTAATAAATAAAACTTATTAACGTGAAGTTGAATTTGTTAAAATGTTTAAAAAAAAATAATTATTATATATTGTATTATACTTTTTGTTATAATCTTTTGTTTTAAATAATTAGAATTTTTCTACTCAAAACCACAGTTCAGTATAATTAATAATTTTTTTTTGGATTTTGTTTAGCTTATGCTGAACTGTAGTTTTAATTTTATAAAATTAATTTTTTGATATATCAATTAATGCATTTTGTACTTAATTCTTATTTCAATCCAACTAAACAGAGAGGATGAAGGCTTTATTAAAGAAGAAGAAAGACCCTTACCGGAAAATGAAAATCAAAGAAAAGTCTGGTTACTGTTTGAGTATCCAGAAAGTTCGCAAGCCGCCAGAGTCGTAGCCATAATTAGTGTATTTGTTATTCTGCTATCAATTGTTATATTTTGTCTAGAAACATTACCCGAATTTAAGCATTACAAGGTAAGCAGAACATTTAAAAATCGATATTTATTATAGCATTTTTTAATTTATTAGATTTATATTAATTAATTTTTTAATGGTGTGTGGGATATGCGAAAACTTCATAAATATGAACACTTTATAAAGAATTAATATTTACTATAACATTTTTTAGTTTATTAGGTTTACATTTAATAATTTTTTAATTGTGGGTGGGGGATGCAATAATTTATGCACCGTCAAACGAGCCTTCGTAAGAATTCTGTTCCTGAGTCTTTACTGCGCATAATTGTGGACTTAGCCAAGTTTATAGAATTGTCAGGTTGGGGGAGTTGTGCCTTCTGAATTGCTCGTACACTGACATTCAGTCTGTGCTTCTACAAATGTTAATCCTGCTATTCAACAATGGGTCATTTTTTGAGCTTTAGTGGGCTTTTGGCACAAGACGTTCACTTCAACCTACCCTAACCTCCCGTCTTCAATGAATTTTTTCCTTTACATTACTTTGGGGAGCATTTTTGGGCTATCTATGCCGTATTCTGCTTATATTACCAACACCCAATCTCTTTCCCCATTACAGATTTTTTGTTGTTTCCAATATGAAGAGTTTTTCTAAGGCATGTTTTTCTTGTAGGAAAAACGCCCACCTGTAGATTTCACTATTATGTCATTATATGGTATATATACATTATATACTGTGAATATATTCCACCTCTATGGAATATGCATCAAGATCTTTTTAGTACGTAGTTTATCCTTTATATGAAATGTGTAATCAGATTCCAATTTTCTGACTCAAAACACATAAATAACATCTAATAATTCAGCTAAACTATTTTAAACATTAAAAAAAATTTTGAATTTTTTGTTATTATTATTTGGAAAATTCAATGTACAGCGATTTAGGTAATATATTTAGCTAATTATCTTAACTGATTCTTAGATTTAGATTTAGATAAATACTATGTATTATGTGGAAAAAAATTTGTTAATAATTAATAATCCATTACACTCAAAAATAAGGGACCGCATACATTCTATATATTATAAGACGTAATGGTATTCAGCTTTTCAATAGGAACAATTTCGAATTTCTATTTAATGGATACGGCTTTGAAATAATCAGCTTTTTTACGATAAAAACTACTAAAGCAATTGATCAAAAAAAGATATTTTTTAAAATTTTATGGAAAATAAAAAATATAATTCTTCCCAATATCTTCTTACTTATTAAGTGACCTTAACACTCCGTTTACGGAAACACCTTATAGGTTGGTTGCTTTTGAGCTTCCCCTTAAATTTTTCGGCATATTTTGAACTTACTTTAATAGATTTTCTTTAGCTTTTCATTGAAAATAAACTTTAATTTATTCATTGCAAAAATTGTCATTTAAATTACTTCATTTATGTTGAAATTCTGCCTAATTTAAAATTACTTTATAAATATCCTACGTCATCACATTCTTCTGTATCCAATATGGTTAACACTCCAACCTTATCTGTCCACAACAGATATGGTATACATCCAACTTTCTTTGGACCCTTTCTTCTAACATATTATTTCTTATTATATTAATTTTAAATATTACTTCAGATGAGAAACTCATGGAGATTCCTGCTTTGCGGTTCTTTGTCAATTTTTCTACCCTGCCTATTTTATTCTAAGTAATAGAATTGTCTGTTGTAATATAGATTGCGATATATCTTGTTTTACATCAGTATAATGAATACATTAGTTATTATAATAGTGCCATAATCACAGCGATCATAAGATCTAGTGTGCCACAAATGTATTAATAAGGTGATAGTGAATTAACTCTATATATGTATTTAAACTAAATATTATAAGGTTTATCATTATTTAAGTTTCGTTACTTATTTTTTAACAGTTCACTTTATCAAATCTGATAGTTTTGAGTATTTCATCTATCGGGTAATCCTTTTTAAAGAACTTCTTTTTAATTTTATAAAAATTGTATTGAAATCAAAAATATCAAATTATTTTTATAATTAATAATTATGTATACAGAAAAATATTTAAAATTTTGTTTCTTTTTATTATTAAAATTTCAAGGTGTTCAATACAACAACAAATGGCACAAAAATCGAGGAAGATGAGGTGCCTGATATTACAGATCCTTTCTTCCTTATAGAAACGTTATGTATTATTTGGTTTACATTTGAACTCACTGTCAGGTAAGCTATTAATAATTTAAGATAATTATAAAATATTAATAACATATAATACAAGACTTTATGAAAAAGAATATAATACATAAATAATAATTAAAAATGATTTAAAAATTATTGAAATATTAAATATTAATTATATATTATATGTTATGTATTATATAATATATTCATATTATTTTTTTAATTTGTTTGAACTTCTCAACAAAAATCTGTATACATTCTAATAAATTTTTTTTTATAGTAGAAGAGTAGCGAACTTTTATAAGGCCTTTGTCCAGCTTCTTTAAATAAAAGTTTTACGGTATAAGTTTATTTTTATTTCTTTCAATATAGGAACTTAATATAACATATGTGACTATATTAAAGTGCTCTATTATAGCTCCTTTTATACTGTTTAATATACAAATTCTATAAAGTCAAATTTATACTGTTAAATAAAAGTTAATTCATTAAAAATGATTTTTATATAAAGTAAATAGTTAATTGTAATTAAAACGATCGATATCCCAATCAAGCTCTCTTGTTGTGAAACTGTAAACTGGTATTATTTTAAAATATTTAACTTTTTATTTAATTAGTGAAGTATTAAAATATGTTTTCTAGTCAACAAAATAAGTAATAGATTCAATTATACACTGTCATAAAGTAAAACAGTAAGTAAAGCACTTTTGTTTGTCTAACATTCAGCTTTGACGTGATCCTAAAATTATTGCTCCATACTACTCTCTCTATAGTATACCCCTAAGCCATACTATTTTTTCGAATTGAATGGTTTTTCCTTTTGCTCTGGCCAAGATATCGTTGTTTTCAGTTTACAGTTTACAGTTCAACTCCCATTTGTAATCATAAAAAAATCATTATAATAAATGTTAATCTTATAATTATATCAAATATAAGTTAAGAAAAAAATGTTTGTGGAAATAAATTTTATTTATTTTATTAACATTATTAAATTAAATAATACTTAAACCTTAATTATACGAAAGAACTCAGGAAAAAAGTTTTTGTGTATATAAATTTTATTTATTTTTTATAATAATATTAAATTATATAATATTTTTAACTTAAATATATAAAACATAATTTAAGAATAATTTTTTTCTTTAGTTATATGAAAAATAAGTAAAAAAAAATAATTTATTCTTTAATATTAATTTTTATTCTTCATTACAACAAAAAAAGGTTCCTCGCATGTCCGAATAAGTTAAATTTCTGCAGGGATGTCATGAATGTTATCGACATAATCGCCATCATTCCGTACTTTATAACATTGGCGACTGTTGTTGCCGAAGAGGAGGATACGTTAAATCTTCCAAAAGCGCCAGTTAGTCCACAGGTATGTTCATCTTGTTTACCAATGCAATGTCTACATATAAATGTTGCCAATAATTTTATTTTAAATAAAAAATAATTAAAATTAAAAAAAAAATAAAATTAAAATATATATTTATATTGTTAACTAAATTCACATACATATATTAATAATATACATATATAACTATATATAAATATACCTATATATATATATATATATATAAATAATTTTTTTGCTCGTTTTTTAAATACTATTTATTGTTTTCTAACTTTTTTTATAAACTTTTTTGTTTAATGTTTTTTTATGTTTTAATGTAACAAGAAAATTTTTGGTTTACTTTAATGTTATTATTGTGTAAATGAAAAAATACCATAAATTGTAATTTTTAGGACAAGTCATCGAATCAGGCTATGTCCTTGGCAATATTACGAGTGATACGATTAGTTCGAGTATTTCGAATATTTAAGTTATCTAGGCATTCGAAGGGTTTACAAATTTTAGGACGAACTCTGAAAGCCTCAATGCGGGAATTAGGTTTACTTATATTTTTCTTATTTATAGGTAAGTTTCAGTCAAAAGACCACAACAAATACAAACAACAAATAATAAAATATGTGATACTCTAATACTACTTAAATCACTTAAAACCCAAATACAAGTTAGACACGCATATATATTAAATATGTATATATATATATATACAATTCCGTTCTATATATATATAAATAACAAAACAATAGATTTTTACAATTAAAAAACTAACAACAGTCTTACACGCACACAAACACTTCAAAAAAAGTAGAAAAAATGCTAAATAACAATAATTAAAATACATAAAAATTGGCTTGAAATTTACAAGAAAAATAAATTATTTTAAATTGAACAAAATAAAATATTTTAAAAATATATAAAAGTACATATCTAATGCCCTGCCTGGTAAATGAAAATACTGCAGAGGCGCAGCGCTTGTGTCGCAAATGTGGGGCTTATAAATCACAGCTCGGACCATAAAACTGCAAAAAGCACTGAAGCCACGTCGACTTTTTGCTTAAATAAATCAAAAGAGAAAATAATTATTTTTTTTGCACCAGAGATTTTTTTGGTGAAAATACTTTTTTTGTACTTTGCTAAAATTAAAAGTATGCTAAATATTATTTTAAAAAATATTTTAAAATTATTAAAAAAAGAAATTTATTTTTGTAATATTGCAGTATGAAAATTATGCTTCTTTTGTTTACTTTTCATATATACCATATATATATTATATGTATTTAATATATTAATAGATAAGAAAGTGCATATATATGCAGCAAAAAAAAAAACAAAAACAAAATAATAAGTAATATATTTCAAAAGAAAAAAAAAAAAAGAAAAGTGAAAAGAGTATTAAAATTTGCACTTTTGAATAATTATTTTACCTACCCCGCCCTAAGTATATTATGTGTTATCCTCTCCTAAACTATGTTAGCTTTTAAATTTAAATATTTTTGCTTTTTAAAAGAGAAAACAACTTTAAAATAATAAAACAAATTTAAATTATTGTTTGTACTGTACCTTTAAAGTAAATTAGTTTATAGGTCGAAAAGTAAAGACTGTAACTTTTAAAATATACTGAATCAAAGAAATTATATATATATGTTTCTTTGTAAAAATTTTGTAGGTTTTATGTGTGTAAACGTACGCTAAAATGCATAATAAATTAGGTAAATAAATAAAAACATAGTTTTAGGCGCATATATACCACAATTTAGTACAAATTAGTTTTAAAATGTATTTATATAGGTGTCATTTAGCTAATGTTCCTAAAATGAATTTATTTAAATACAAAAAAAGTAAAATCTACTCGAATTTTAGTCTATTGCTCCTGATATACTTCGACAGAGTAAATAATAAATTTATCACAATGCAGTCATTTGCAATTTTAAGCCAAATTTAGAATTGCGATTGTTGTCTTTAGATTTGCTAGGCGCGTTGCGAAAAGAACTCCTAATATATCTATTCTCTTCCATATAAAACTATTTGAATTATAATTTAGCTTTGGCTTAATGTAAATAAAACTTCGTTAATATTTTCTTATTTTTCTTTTTGTCTATAAGCGCACTAACCTTCTAAACTGAGTACAATTTTTCTCAAAAACTATTAAAAATCTTCCAATGCATTTTTTGCCTCTGTATTTCCATTTCTGTACAATAAATACTATTTTATTTTATTTCAATTACTATCTAAATAAATCCTTTGTAATTATTACTACTACTTTAGGAATTTTCGTAACGCCCTTGAGAATCTAAATCAGGACTTCGTCATCAATTTAAATGCTTAAAATTGGACTTCTCTGCTTGTTTTTGCATATATATATTGTTAATTTGCAAATATATGTGTTTGTATATAAGCCCAGTTATTGTGGTTGCTTAGTTAAATTGTTGTTAAAATGGATTTTATTTTTTTAAAAAACAAAACCTTTAAATTTAAACGTAATCATTAACGTTGTTATTATCGTAAACGTAATCGCCATTAACGTCGTAATTATTTTTGTCGTAAACGTATTTATTTTCATTGCTAATACAGTAAACTTTTAAATAAAATACATAATCGTTAATATACAATAAATATTCCTACTAATTACTTAAATAATTAATTTGCACTAGTTGTACTAAAATTAGCTTAGTGTAGCCTCATTAAACTAACTAAAGCGTACTAATATAATATTTTTCTTTCAAGTTCACTAAATACTAATACTCTTTATACTACAATATATTATATCATATTACTCTTACTACTTCTATTAACTACTTAATTTAGCTCTATCGATATTAACTACTATTTTTAAGTTACTTTTGTTTAACTAACTCTAATAATTATCGTATTCGTTAGTATAGTTTGATTTGCCTTGCTGTAGATTTAGCTGTGTTTCGTAACTAATGAATTTACTAAAATATTTGTTTTTAACCAAGTATGATGTATTAAATTAGTTTAATAATACTTAAAATATATTTAAAAGTTTTCAGCTTAAATAAACGTTACCAAACAAAAAAAAAAAAATTGCGCTTGTTGAAGTGCAGAAGGTTCAGTATAAATTAAAAAAAATATATCAAAAATATATATTACCTAATAAAATTAGTATTAAAATAAATAATACAATTATATACATATACATTTGAATATATTATAATTAGAATAAAATATATTTTATATAATTTGCACTTTTATTTATATATATATAAATATTAAATAAACTCCTGTCCAATAAATCCTTTATATATAATTTTAACAATTTTTTATATGCACTGATTTATTTAAATTTTGAATTTTTTTCGGAAAATCTTAAGTAATGGCTAGAATTTTTTTAATAAAATTTTATCATATTTTTTTGTTTTATTTTATTATCTCATTTATTAATTTTTTAAGTAGTTCTTATTTATTTATTTTTTAAGTAGTTGGATTTTTAACTGTATACCTCGTGCTAATTTTTTAATAATTTTTTATATCAAATAGTTTTATTAAAGTACTTTATTCTTAAAGTAAAAATCCTAAACCTTTAAAAAAAGGTGATTGTGAAATTTATGAATTTATTTGTTAACTAACACTTAAGGGCCACTCTTAAGCCACTTTAACAAAGTTAAGTGACTTTTAAGTGTTTTGGTTATGCATAAATGAAACATTATAAAAAATGCTAGAATAAAAATCACATAGAAAAACTGAAAAATTTTAGATAAAATGTTTTTATAAGGCAATTACCACAATAAAATTTTTTTATTTTTTTAAATAAAAATTATACACTGCGGAAACAAACACTAAAGTGAAAATTCTAAAATTCTAATTCTTAAAATTCTAGTTCTGAAAAATTCTTCACCTTCTTATAAAGTCTAATAATGTCCCAATCTTCTGTTATATATCCTTTGTTCCACTCTACTTATATCATGACTAAATTAAAATCAAAGTTTATTCTAATATGTAATCAAATGCCAGAAACTATCGAATTGTCAAGTGAGACTTCTAAGCAATTTATGATGACAAGGAAACCCATCGAGTATAGTCGCCTTTATGTGTACAAGTAAATCTAAAGCAATCTTTTGCTCCTCTTAAAATCTACCTTGGAAGAGCTTATCTTCTGAAACACAATAACAAAAGAACTTTAATCACATTTTATCTACTGTATGGAAGCAGGTCCAGTATTACTGTTTTAATAGATATTAGTTCAACTAAAGTAATTTTTGTTGTGCTTATAGTCCATATAATGTCTCTGTTTCTAAAGAAGCCTGGTTTTTTTTTTGCTTTTGCAGCAAACTATAAAACTGCCAGGAGAGTTTTAAACTGCAGTTGATCGTCAGCGATACGGGGTCCTTTAATATGGTATCTATCACTATTAAAGTCGCTAAATAAATTTGTAAAATTATTTAATTTTATAATCAAATCTCATTGACTTTTATCTCTTTTAATATTCTCAACATAGATGATTTTCATAGTTTCAAACATCTTTCTTACTTAATGCTATTTCAGCTTCATGTGGTACTTTACTTGTCGTTGGCATGTTTCTCAAAAATATATATAGATTAACCACTTTTAGAGAGAGAGAACTAAGTAAATAATTCTTCTTACCTCTTCATAATCCCACTGGTTTCGTCTTGATTATAATCTTCATATAGTAAATAATCTCTTATAGTAATCACTTAAAAGTTCAACCTTATTTAGAATTAAAAAATCTACATTTGTAATAGTATTTCTGATGAGTTCCTTATATTGTTCATACCATATTTCCACTTGCCTTAGTGTCTCTCTTTACCTTCAAATGTTTTCCTCATTAATGCCGCTAATGAGTATAATTTACCACACAAAGAGATTGCATATAAATGAGCTCATTATAAATCAATCAACTTATTTAATTGAATGTTTCTACAGAGCTTCTGTGCTTTTTAACTTACTTAAAAAAAGTAAGGAAATTTAGATCAAAATTGTCGAATGCAACCCTTAAAAATAAATTCCGTATAAACGAAATTACCAAACTTTGAAATATTTGTCATATGTTTTATATGTAAAATGTAAACAAACAATTTATGGAAACGATTACTGAGATCATTTCTGAAGATTTTGGTGAGCCGAATATATGCAATAGAAACTTCTTCTCAAAACCCATACTTATGGAAAATGTCCTGTCAATATCTCTACTGCAACAGAATACCTAATATGAATTCTCTAAATTATATATATAAATTATTAATTATTAATTTATAATATTTTAATATACTATTAAATTATATAAAATTAAAAAAAAGTCTGATGTTGTAACGACACGGATTCGTCGTTTTAATTCTGCTGAGGTATTACTCAGTCGCGGTCCGGGTCGTTGCAATAAATTTGTTTTATTGACTAGTTCGAAACTGGTAAACCAATGAGTGGAAAGTAAAAGACCGTTTGTTTTTATTATTTTAAAATTTATTTATTAAAAGTTTTCTTAAATAACTTATTCTAGTCTTGATTCTACTCAGTAAGTTTTATCCAAAGACGTCAGAACATCAAAGGGTTTTTTCCAAATCTACGTAATTAGTTTCTAGCCAAAGACGTCAAAACATCAAAGGCGTTTATAAAACCTATTCAATAATTTTTACCCAAAGACGTCAGAACATCAAAG